AGCCTGTATACAAAGAGTCTGAATATAAACAGCCTTTGTACTAACAGCCTATGTACAAACAGCCTGAATACAAATAGCTCTGTGCATTTCCTATTTATACACCTTAGCAACACTATCTCTGTTTCACAGGGACATGTACCAGATAATTTACTCTGCATTGCTCTTCTCGGCACTCTTTCTCTGACTCCACCCTCGCTCTGAACCATGGCACCCCACAGTCTTTTTAAAAAATATATATTTTTATTAATTTCAGAGAGGAAGGGAGAGGTAGATAGAGATGGAAATATCACTGATGAGAGAGAATCATTGATTGGCTGCCTCCTGCACGCTCCACACTGGGGATTGAACCTGCAAACCCGGCAAGTGCCCTGACCAGGAATCAAGCCATGACCTCCTGGTTCATAGGCCAATGCTCAACTACTGAGCCACACCAGCTGGGCATGGCACCCAACTGACTTAACCAGGGCTCTGCACCCACAGTTATTGCCAGGGCTCTGCAGCAGCCCATATCTTGACCAGGAGGTAGGTTACTACCTCTCTTAGGCATGGTCAGACTCATTTATTGGGTGAGGTGAGGAGCATTGTTAATGGTGTCAAAGATCAGTGCCCTCAAGCCTACTTAGGTTCAGAATCAACGCTGTTTTGTTTGGCACTCTGACTGGGGCCGGATATCAAACTTGCAACCCAGATAGGTGCCCTTGACCAGGAATTGAACCAAAACCCAAGACCCTTCAGTGTATACACCAATGCTCTAGCCACTGAGCCTACCGGCCAGGGCAGCTAAAGGTTTTCATTGTTTTTATACTATTACTGCTGTCATGGTTTCTTCTTATCCAACTACTAATTTTTGTATGATAGAGTCTTCTCAGCTCTAAAAATTGAGGATAGATTTATATTACTTTATTTTTTTTTTGTTTTCTTTTTTTTAAAATTTATTTTATTGATTATGGTCTCACATAATTGTCCTTATTCCCGCATTCCCATCCCAAACCCCTCCCCAGATATGCCTCCCATCCCCCCACCCCCATTGCCCATGGCCACTGGCTAGGCCCATATGTATGCACACAGGTCCTTTGGTTGATCTCTTCCCCTTACCCCCATCCTCCCCTACTTTCCCTCTGAAGTTTGAGAGTCTGATCGCTGGTTCTCTTTCTCTGGGTCTGTTTGTGTTGTTCATTATTTCCTCTAGATGTGTGGGATCATGTGATCCAAGAAATACCCTTGTAAGAACCGAAACTGCAACAAGCCATAATGGTTATGCTGAGAGGCAAATGAATCAGTCTGTAGTGAGTTCCTTTCTGGGCCAACAGTTCTTTTGAGTCCCAATTTCAATGCCAGATAGTTCCTTATGTGTACATGCCAGCCATGATATTTCAAATCTGGTTGGTGGACAAATGGTGGTAATACAGGTCTGCCCATCTCTAGTTTGGTCCTGGGCATCCTTCAGCAACCAGAAGCTGCTGTCTGCTGGTATGCTGAGGCGTTGTCAGCTTCTTCCATCTCTGAATTGTGTCTCTTTTGTCTTCATGGCTTACCACAAGATTCTGTGGAAAGGCAGGCCATCTTTGACTTTATGATTCAGGCTGCTAGGCCCCTTTATATTTTATCTCATTCTTTCTTCTTTCCAACCAATATTTTCCAAAATACACCTGACATAGAATGAATATTTTTACAATTTGTTTATTGATTAAGGTATTACATATGTGTCTTTATTCCCCCATTACCCCTTATCTCTCATTCATGCCCCCCCATTGTCTCTGTCCATTGATTAGGTATATATGCATGCATATAAGTCCTTTGGTTGATCTCTCCCCCTCACCCCTACTATCCCCTACCTTCCCTGAGGTTTGACATTCCAATTGATGTTTCTCAGTCTCTGGATCTATTTTTGTTCATCAGTTTATCTTGTTCATTATATTCCACAAATGAGTGAGATCATGCGATATTTATCTTTCTCTGACTGGCTTATTTCACTTAGCATAATTGTGTAGATGTACCACAGTTTTTTAATCTACTGATGGGCACTTAGGCTCTTTCCAAATGGTGAATTGTGTTGCTATGAACATAGGGGTGCATATATCCTTTCTGATTTGTGTTTCTAGTTTCTTGGATTATATTCCTAGAAGTGGGATCACTGGGTCAAATGGGAGTTCCATTTTTAGTTTTTTGAGGAAACTCCATACTGTTCTCCACAGTGGCTGCACCAGTCTGCATTCCCACCATCAGTGAATGAGGGTGAATGAACATTTTTTTTAATATATTTTTTATTTATTTTTAACGGAGAGAAACGGAGAGAGATAGAGAGCTAGAAACGTTGATGAGAAACATCGACCAGCTGCCTCCTGCACACCCCCCACCGGGGATGTGCCCACAACCAATGTACATGCCCTTGACCGGAATCGAACCTGGGACCTTTCAGTCCGCAGACCGATGCTCTACCACTATGAATGAACATTTTTAAATGCCTGTTTGAACTGCCAAGGGGAATGGTTTAAATCTATTATGTAGAGCTTCCTAAAAACCTGTCACTCTTTGTAGATTTTATTGTTTTGTGTGTGTGTCTCACATGGTGGGCAAAGATGGTCTTAATTATAATGGAAAGGCCTGTGTTGCCTCATTCTGCTTTATTCCTGGATTGATGGGTTAATGTCTGTAAATTGCCTTGTGTTCATACACAAGGCAAAGGAGAGTTATGTATACACCTTGATGAAAAAGAGCAAATGTTTTAAATATTTTATACCACATGCACTCTCATTAAATATATTATTGAGATGCCTAGCCGTCATCGTCCAGTGGTTAAGCATCAACCTATGAACCAGGAGGTCATGATTTGTTTCCCAGTCAAGGAACATGCCCAAATTGTGGGCTCAATTCTCAGTGGGTGTGTCTGTAAGAGGCAGCCAATCAATGATTCTCTCATCATTGATGTTTCTATCTCACTCCTCCTTCCCTCTCCAAAATCAATATATATATATATATATATATATATATATATATATATATATATATATAGTAAAAAATATATATATATATGCATATCATTAAAAGAAAGAGAAAGGTGAGGAGGATGGCATCTTATTCATTTTTATATCTCTTGCCCCCCACCACAGTACCTGGATCTTTCCTGGATCTTTTTTTAAATTTTTTATTGTTTAAAGTATTACAAATAGTAGTACATATGTCTCCTTTTTTCCTTCCAATGACCTCCCCGCAGCCTCCCTACCACCCAGCACATGCCCTCCCCCCACATGCCCCAGTGTCTTGCTTTACAAAAGCTCAGAACATCTAAGAAGGGAAGATGACATGTGTAATCATTAGCAACAGAACAATCTATATATGTAAAAGCCTAAGCGACCAGATGACCACCCAGTAGCTATGACACACACTGACCACCAGGGGGCAGACAGTCAATGCAGGAGCTGCCCCCTGGTGGTCAGTGGGCTCCCACAGCGGGAGCACTGCTCAGCTAGCAGACACACCGGGTTCACAGCTGGCAAGCGCAGTTACGGTGGCATGAACCTCTCCCAGGGGTCCTCCCCCTGAGCACCCCACTGGTGGCAGCTGGCACAGCCTGGCCTGGATGAATGGGAGCGGCACAGTGCCTAGCCTGGGTTTGGGCTCCTCCCTGGCTGCCTGCAGTTTTGCACACTACTTCATGCTGTGTGGGATCGATGCAGACAGCAGGCTGGAGCCCAATGAGCGGGCAAGTAAGGCTGGGCTGCAGTGGTGCGGAGGCCCACTGATCCCTGCTGGCCAGGCTGAGGGACCCCCACTGGTACACAAATCCGTGCACCGGGCCTCTAGTTTGTAATAGATTTCTCAAGCCATTTCCCAGTGGGTTACATATATAATCTGACTATGCCTCCTCTCATTTAAGTGGCATTTAATTTTTCACATCTGTAATTATTGGATTGCTAAATCTTGTGATCAACGAGTTGGACATTCAGCCAAGACTCTGCAAATAGAATGGCATGGTTTCTGACAGCGAAGGAATATATAGTCAGTGCAGTGTTTCAGCCGCCTGAGACAGCTGTTGGTCGAAGAACATTAATCAAGTAACTGAGATGTTAGAAAATTGGAAGAAATTACACAGAAACCAGGAACGAAAAGGTCTGAGACTGTCTGGGGCCAGCCTTTTAACCTTGCTGAAGAGCCTTAGCATTCCTGTGAGTGTGAATTTAATGTGTCTTCAGTTCCGTGTGCCTAAGACCCTTTTCCTTACAGGCCATTTTTGGCATAAATCCATCAGCTAGATACGCTGTATTCCAGAACTTTCAAATGTCTTTTGTCCCATCCTCGGCACCGTGGTTGATTCATTTGTGAATCCCACAACACTCCCACTTGGCAGGGATTGATTGTCACTGTTTATTTTTTCTCCTGGGTCTGCCAGAAGGCCGTCAGGCTCGTGTCCTGAAGGTTAATGCCCAAAGTCAAGTTAAGCCCACAGAGCCACGTGCGCTGCCAGGTTTTCGAGGTGAGGACTGGCTCCCTTCGCAGACATGAACGATCACTATCGTGTCGTGTGGCTCTGAGTGGCCTCCCCGTGGCTGATCGAGCACGTCAATACTGCGTCCCTCCCTGCTGTGCACACCGATGCCACTCGCTGTCCGCGGGACGGACTGAGCAGCGCCGAGCGCGCACCTGCCAGGGACACGCAGACACGTCACTTTCCATCGCAGCCTCGAAACATCCCTTTGGCGTTGGTTTTCCTTGGGCATCACGGCGTCACATCCCAGGGGCTTTCCAGCCTCTGTAGGGCTCTGTTTTCTGAATGATCCCCAAGAGGTTCTCGGGATGATACCCTTGGCTAAAGCCTGACATAGGCTTTGGAGGGGAAAATGACGTGAAGGTGGCTATTGTGGATCCTGACAAATGAGTAGCTCTGCGCACTGAAGTCTCATCAAAGGCTCTCTCTAATGGGCAAGTGGATCATTCCATTCAATCACGGGGAATCAGTCGGGCTGTATGTTTATGTTCTGTTTCATTGCCACGTTTCCCAGGCCCTGAGGCAGCAGCAGAAAAGAAGAAATGGAGTCTCCGTGATGGTCAACAAGACCGTCCCTCGTGTGGTGCTGACGCCCCTGAAGGTGTCTGACGAGCAGTCGGATTCGCCGTCAGGTAAAGAGCCGGGAGGGTCCGAGGGCCAGGTTCCTCCCGGGGACCCCTCGCTGAAGGGAGACGCCGGGAATTCTCTCTGCACCTGAGTGATGGCTCCACTTGAGGCTTTGTTTAATGTTCCTATACCTTTGATTCTTTCCCCGATTATAAAACACGGAGTAGTTTGCTCCTTAAGCAAAGGTAGCAGCTCACTCACCAGCAGAGGGCTTCCTCTGCTCCCGTCAGCAGGGGTAAGAGAGGGTGCCTGGGGCGGGTTTTTGCTGTGGCTCAGGCCTGTGTGTGGGTGTGGGGCTTGAATGGCGGGCCACGTGCTGGGGGCAGCGCCCGCAGAAGCAGCTCTCAGGAGGGCGTGCGTTGCTTTGCGGTCCTCGGCTGTGACACCGGGCATCCTTGGTGAGGTTTTGTGTTCTGGCAACATCCTTCTCCCCTCGGTGCAGCCGCGGCCTTTTCTAATTTACCTCCTGTCACTTTATCCGCGACCTACCGTTCTGTCTTTATGATAGACCGATGGCTGCATTTTCTGTGCCTACTGCGGTGTAAAGTTATTTATAAAAGGTACGATCTCTCTCTCTCCCCCCGAGCTTCTCTTCTTGCTGCTGCTTTCTGTCTTGCATCGTCTCTAAGTGATAAAATATTGTTGGAGCTTACTGGAGTATTTTTACAAAAGATCTCAGTGTTTCTTTTCTAAGCTGTCAGATCAGCAAATGTGTTTTTGACTCTACTATTAGGCCATCTGTCCTTGCTTTTTGTTCTGTGTGATTGATTTATTGGGCTTTCTCTTTGTAGCCAGTAAAGGCATCAGATTGGGGCCCAAGGTAGTGAATTAACTCTTAGAAAAGGAGATTATATCTATAGCCTTTTAAAACAATTTGAGATTTTTTTTTTCTTTTCAAGGACAGCAAGAGGAAGATAATGACCTAATAACTATTTCCTTTTTTAGGATCTGAATCTAAAAATGGTGAAGCAGACAGTTCAGATAAAGAAATGAAACATGGGCAAAAATCTCCCACTGGAAAACAAACAAGTCAGCACTTAAAACGGTTAAAAAAGTCTGGTTTAGGTGAGTGTTCAACGGACGATGACATTTCACTGTCTAGAGATTTCTATCTTTTGTGTGAAACTATGGAGAGTCTCAGAACATTTTTTAAAGAGTAAAACAAACCTTTCTTAAATCATTCCAATTTATCTAAATCAAAAGGGTACTAAATAAGGAAATGTAGCTATAACGGAATGACCTTAAGCATTAAGATGATTAAATATTGCTTAAAAATAGCTAAAAATCTGTGAATGACATTATTGTATGAAACAAAGGCTAAAGATAAGATATTTAAAATTATGTATATTATATATGTATATGTATAAAGTTATATATATATATATATCTTAAGTACTTATCAGCCAAGTATGATTCTATTTGATGTATAATATTTTGTTCCCACCACTGGATTTCACTTGATAGGAATATATCATCTGGGGCCAGGGGGAGATGCAACTTTATAGAGACTTCACTGAGCTGAGGGTACATGTTCGGGGGTGGGGGGCGCTGCAGTAAGCCACTGGGCCTTGCTTTTCATCCATGCTGCCTCAAATAGTCGTGCTTGTCTGAAAACTTGTGTGAATTTGCTAAGCAGTGTAAGAGACGCTGTCCAGGGGTCTTTCAAGTGTCTTCTGAAGATCTCCTTCCTGATACTCTCTCATCAGGAGCTCCATGGCAGCAGCCAGGGGAAAGGGATGATGGGCCGACGAGAAGTATAAGATGAAAACGAACCGCTCCTGGGCTGAGCATTGCCATTTTCGGCCTTGCTGGAAGTCTGGACCAAATGGCTTCATTTCTCTTAGTTATTTCACCCCGAACAAGGGCAAAGATAATGACCCTGTCATTGCAACATTTCGTGAAATGATAGAAACTGCTCATTTATTGACCTGAACTTTATTACTGGTTCTGCATTTATTTTCTTGGAAATTTAGGATAGTTCTTATTTGCAAAGTTTTTTTCTGGTTGCAAAATTCAAGCAAGATTCTGACGCATTTATTTTTAGTTTCTTAGTAACGGTTCATTGATTGCCTACTATATACCAGGAATTTTGCTAACTCCTTGGCACATACTTTTAATAAAAAGCCTTTCTATATTTTTTTGATATCTTCTGGGAAGCAGAATTTATTTTTGTTTTAAATTTTTCAATGTAACATAATTATCTCTTTTGCATTATTTCCAAAGCTAAATAATTTTATAGTTTTTGTGTAGCCTCAAACATATGCGTTTGTGTTTGTGTATAACCACACTTACGCATATATTGATGTAGTTTTTATTTTTCCATTAGCCTTTTGGGGGGTTGTAAAATCAATTCTTTAACATGAGTAGCTTCTGAAGTAGAAAACTATAGTGGGAGAATGATATGTAAAGAATGTCTAAAAAATACCCTATTATGATTATATTAAAGTAGTTAAAAAGTCATTAACCTTCATTTAAAAATAGTCTGCCGACAAACTTAATAAATTCAGTGTCATATCATAAGTTTAAGAAAATTCACCCGGCCCATGTGGCTCAGTGGTTGAGTATCAATCTATGAACCAGGAGATCACGGTTTGACTCCCAGTCAGGGCACATACCTGGGTTACAGGCTCGATCCTCAGTAGGGGGTGTTCAGGAAGTAGCCAGTCAATAATTCTCTCATCATTTATTTTTCTATCTCTCTCCCTTTCCTCTCCTCTCTGAAATCAGTAAAAATATATTTTAAAACATTTCAAGGCACAGGCCTTGCTGTTTAGTTGCTTAGCTAACTTCAGGACTGGAAGTCAAGGCCATTGTGTGCTGGAGATCAGCATCCTCCCAGGCGCTCCAGCCTGCAGCCAGAACCTCCTATTATCTAATGGTTGCCTAGGAGTCCTGCATGCCAGTATGAAGCTCACTTGTTAAAAATGGTTGTATTGTGAGAGTATTTTCGCTGACTTGTTAGCAAATTAGAAAGGCAATAAAGGAGATTGCTGTGTTCTTTTTAACCTGCTTTCTTTTAGACCTCAAAGTGCTCGAAATAATGAAGCCCCTTAATGAAAGAATGGCACAGTAAACGCATATTCATGCCCATGTTGAATGCAGTGGTCTAGGTGTTTTGACAGAGGATTCCTCATTTAGTCCCTACTTCAATTATGCACAGTAGAATTATTTCCACTTTCTTCAGCTAAAGCAACAGGCCCAGAGGATTAAGGAGGTTTGCCCAGACCCATAAATGACACAGCTAAGATACAAGCGAAGGCACAGCCAGCTCCAGTCTCAACTGTTCATCTTGGGTATGGTCTGACTGTCCAATCCTCTAGCCGACAGAGCAGACCTATGGACATCCCTGAGGAGCAGCACGGCCCTCGGTCACATGAGTCTGCCAGAGATGTTAAAGGGCAAGTGCACTAGCCCTGGCTGGAGTGGAGTGTCGTTTCCTGCAGGGTCTCTGGTTTGATTCCCAGTCAAGGGCACACACCTGGGATCAGGTTCCATCCCTGCCCCAGTAGGGGCATGTGGGGTGTATGCGAGAGGCAACCAATCTCTCTCTCTCTCTCTCTCTCTCTCTCTCTCTCTCTCTCTCTCTCTCTCTCTCATGTGGGGTGTATTCGAGAGGCAACCAATCTCTCTCCCCCCCCCTCCCCGTCCTTCCCTCCCTTCATCCCTCCCTCCCTTTGTTCTTCTATCCTGCCTCCCTCTCTCCCTCCACCCTCTCCTTCCCTCCCTTCCACTCTTATCCTCCCGTGGGGATTAAACAAACAAAACATGCAGGCACACTAGTTACTCTAACATACAAGGAGAATGAGCAGCTCTAAGATTTCTTGGCTGTAAAATGAAAGAGATGAGGAAAAAGGTGGGATTTCAATTAAGTCAATTAAGGTAAACATTTGTCAAGATAAACTGAAGATAATTACAGGAAGGAAGTGTGACTGACTCTCTAACCTAGCAAGCAGCTTAGGGGAATGGCTTATTTTGTGCTAATGAAGTCAATAGTACTTATGAAGCCTGACACTCTAGAGCAGTGGTCGGCAAACTCATTAGTCAACAGAGCCAAATATGAACAGTACAATGATTGAAATTTCTTTTTGGAAAGCCCAATTTTTTAAACTTAAACTTCTTCTAACAACACTTCTTCAAAACAGACTCACCCAGGCTGTGGTATTTTGTGGAAGAGCCACACCAAAAGTGCTGCATTTGGCTTGAGAGCCGCAGTTTGCCGACCATATCCCTAACCTACTGAAGCCATCTAGAATAATAAAAGCACAATATGCTAATTAGACCAGCCAGCTGAACAGCCTTCCAAAAGACCATTCAGAGGATGTCCTTCTGGACGACCTTCCGGGGCTGCGAGGGCCAGTATGGCCGCCGTGGCCGCAAGGGCTGAGCCCCTTGCATGAATTTCGTGCATCAGGCCTCTAGTTCTAAATGAAAACAAATGCTACCAGTCTTTTCTAACTTCAGGTGATTCTGAAACTAAACTCGGTAAATATCAGACTTTAGGGTATTAACCTAAATTTTCACCCTCATTGCGAGATTCCCCGAACAGGATATGAAATACTTTCCATCGTCCCCCATGCACTTGCTTTGGGTCTCTGGCCATGTTAATTTGTCAAATTGCAAGATAGTCACCATTTCAAGGTGGAGATTTTGCCCGAGTCTCAGAGCCCAACACACAGTATGTTTCCCTGAGCACCCTGCAGTGGAGGGTGCCCCCCAGGCTGCCCCAGGCTGCTGCTGAGGCCAGCTCCCTGGAGAGGGCTGGAGCACACCATGAAAATAGATGCAGTGAGTGCCGACACCCCTCAGGTCTGTTCTTGAAATCTGTGAGAAATATATCACAGCCTAGGGACCCACTACTGATGACATTGGTGTTTTGTTTTATCTTTGTTCTGTTAGTTTTGTTCTTCACCAGGATTATTTATGGGAAGTAAAAGGATATTTCTCTGAGTAGCTCTCTGATGGAATAGACAGGAGACATGGGTCAATTGAGTGCAGTTGAAAAAACACACACACAGATCTATAGAATATTTTTCTGATGATGTTACAGCAAACAATAAAACTTTTGTTAGCCCTCTCCCACTTTTTAATCATGTGTAGTAGGAAACGCTATTCTGTTATGGGTAAAACAAATGCTAACAGTGTCTTCAAGAGCTCTTTTATATCATATGTCTTGCAGGTTATTATGACAGTACATATTAGACTACCACATAATCAAGCAGTCGAAACCGCATCCAGTGAGCAGCTGAAAATGAGGTTTACAGTACACGTGCTTCTTGCCTAATCAGTTGGTTTAATATCCTGCCTGCTTATCTTAGCAAAGGATGAAACTCATTTAAAAGCTCCCCTGTGGAGTCTTCAGAGATAACCCTGGTACATTATCATCTGGTGGTCTCCAGGACACTCAGAGGGTGGATTGCATGCATTCAAAAAATTGTTTAATGCTCTTCTCTCTTACCACTCTCTTACAAATTAATTTCTCACATTTTCCCTTCACTAAAATTAGGGGTCATTTACCTAAACCAGTTTTTCTAATGATAGCCCTTCTTACCCACTCAGAAGGAGTTTACAGAGTGCCTGCCAAACTCGTCTAAGATTGTAATGGATGTCCCTGAGGGGTTTGGAATAAATGTGCTTGCTGAGCCCAACTTCTGGGATTCATTCCAATGTATTTTATTTGGTTTAATCTTTTTTGTAGTGAAGAATGATAACATTACTGGTTTCATAAAATGTTATATACTTTAAGAATAAATCAATGCAGAAAAATAAGAATTGAAAAATAAGCCTCAATCTATCATCCAAAGTAATCTCTCCTAGTGTTTTATAAACAGATTTAACATCTCTTCATGTGTAAGTCTAGCCAGAGGTCATCATTGAGAAACTGTATTATGCCTATTAATTTAAAAGTATAAAATTTAAGTGAGCCCAGGCTGCCTACTAAAGAAGAACAGAAGTAAAATTTAAGAGGAGCATTGCTAAACATTGCCACGAGATCTATTTATAGCTAAAAGTCCTCTCAAAGGTATTAAATAAATGAAAAATTGAAAGAGGAGTGATTATCTTTGTTA